AAAAGGTCCAGAATAGAAGCAAAGTATGTCTTCTAAGGGGTGCTCATCCTTTCTACCTCTTTCTCTGATAGAGACATTCAAGAAAGAGGTAGATAGGCTTATCCCACAATTAACAATACAAGAAATATGATATTTACAACAGTTTATCAAATTAAATAAATTAAAGTAAGAACAAATCCAAGCTTAAGAAATAGATGGGAACCTACATCATCTCTTTGTGAATAAGGGCAAGTTAATACCCAAATCCATACTATTAATTGGAGAGAGTAGATTACTGTACATCATTTCTTAGTGAAAACTTTTCTTTTAAAGCAAGGGATTCATCAAAAACTATTGAGAACTCTTTTTCAATTGATGGAACGAAGATTTTTCCACCCGTTTCCATGTTCATGAATAATTGAGAAGAGAGATTTCAACATTGTTGACATAGAATCTCTTGTTTTGCTTCCAAGGAAAATCAATAAAAATGAAACCAATCACTTTCTCAACATTAAATCTCAAAAATCATCTAACTAACCCCATGAAACAACCTCCACTACTCATTAAGTTTGAGCATGGGTTGAAGCATATGGGCTAATATGCCAAGATGATGAGATATGTAAGGAAAAAGTGTATAAAATGAAAGAAGCAACTCTACATAATCAAACTTGTGGATGGGTGGCTACTTTCTACTTCCCACCACATCCACAAGATTCCAATTAACACATCTATATACAACAAAAATAAAATATAGCACAAGAAAGCCCGAAAAGTGTGCAAAAGCACAATAAAATAAAGAGAACAATCAACTCAATAGATGGGTGGCTACATCCTAGTTCCCTCCACATCTATGAGGACCCATCATATGATTGCAGTAAGTTAATAATGAAATACAAAGTGTAAAGACAAAGAAAGAAAGAGCGAAAGTGAGAAAAGGATAAGAAAAGTTTCAACTCATACCTTTTCAAAGCAAGGAAGACTTTTTGATTTCCAAACTTGCTTCCAAACATCCTCACGGCCCATTAATATGGCTTGAACGCTCAACAAGAATGTGACGACCCCAATCTCTGTGTTGTTTTTATATATTCTTTTATTGAGCATATTTTCATGATTATGTGCTTAATTAATACTTATCTATTAGTTTGTGAATTATCTATTTGAATGCCGACGTAGATTGCAAAATCGAAAGCCAAAATGGATTCAGAAACCAAAATTGATTAATTCAATAGGCTAGTTAAAATATTTAAAATCATATGGTAAGTTTAATTAAAATTTGATTTGGAGCAAAATAATTAGAATAAAACAAGTATAAATGATTAGACTTAAGCCAATTGATTATCCTTAATCACAATTAATTAGCTAAGCATAATTCACCTATATTTATATATATGCTAATCATACTTTAAACTTCATTCTCTACAATCTTTTGAGCTAAAAATTGAGAGTTTGAGAGAGAACTTAACATTTTAGAGAGAGAGAGATGGAGAATTCAAGAGGATTAAGGGGAGAATGAAGAGTTTAAGCTCAACTAAGGCCCAATTCAAGTTCTAGGTATGCTTTTTACCCATAATTCATGAAGTTAATCCATGTAGGGAGATGAATTCACTAAATTGTAGGACCGTTTGCTTGTAACTGAAAGAAATGAGAATAAATCATCAAGAGTTTAGTGAGTTTGAGTGAATTGTGTACATGAATGCATAATTCTTCATCTATGAACTTGGCTTTCTTCAAATTCATACATGCATAGGACTTACATGAGTTATTTCTTAAGGTTCATCATGGTTTGCACTCAACACCTCATATAAACATGTTTTGGAAAGAAAGAGTTGAGTTTGTTGCATACATGTCAAGTTCCAAAATGGGTCCGTAAGCCCCCAAAGTGTGGGGCCCTTCTCCAATCGGTGCTAGGTGGGACATGTTTGTTAGCTAGAAATCTGGTGGTGGCCATGAGAAAGAATAAAGAAGGGCAGAAGGCCTTGAAAAATGCAAAGAAGATTTTGGGAAGAAAGAGATTAGAGAGAGAAGGAGACAAGGAAGAGTTTGCTGAAAGTAGGGGACTAGTGGACCCAAGGGGTTCTATTTATAAGAATTCGAGATCATAGGTTCATAATTTCCAAAGATACATTTGTTTATATAGTGTTTCTAAGCTTTTGAGACCAACCATGCAAGCTTTGAACTTGAAAAGCAATGATTTTGAACTTCAAACACAAATCTGGAAAACCCAGAATTCATCTAGTTTGCTCGAACGAAGGATCCACCGCTCCAGTGAAAAATAAAGGCATCCAATACTTTTGCAGACATTTGGCCATTGGCTCGAGCGATCATCGAGTGTAAAATTTGAGCATCCAGTACTTTTATAGTCTTTACAAATTGCTCAAGCAACCAAATGTATGCTCGAGCTTGGACCGCTCGAGCGACCAAATGTGCATTGAAGCGAAGACCCTGTTTTCAGCAAGTTTTGACTAACGCTTATAAGTAAATTTCTACATCCTCAAGCCTGTTTAGGCATTCTTAAGCATCATTTGGACATTCTTAATTAGCGAATTAGCTAGAAACACATGTAACAGAATAATTAACATACGTTACTTAATTCGAATGTGTGTTCATGTGCAATTGTGTTATACGCTTTGTGTAGGTGGTTAATTGAGGTCTATCGTCAGTACCAACCCATTGTGAGTAGTACTTTTGTAAAGATATGTTATAAACGTGTGTTTTGATTATCGCAAGATCATTATTTTGAAATGTTATTTCGTTATAAATGAATGATTGTCTCCTTCAAAAAGTATTGTGGCATCCTTAGTATGGCACTCGCCTGGGGGTAACAATATTGTGGCCTATGCTATATGGCCTTCAAGGGTAACAATACCGTGGCCTATGCGATATGGCCCTTGCCCGAGGGTAACAATACTATGGCCTATGCTATATGGCCCTCGCCCTGCGGTAACAGTACCGTGGCTTATGTGATATGGCGCTCGCCTGGGGGTAGCAATATCGTGGCCTATGCTATATGGCCCTCACTCAGGAGTAACAATACCGTTTCCCTACGTTACAGAGATCTCTGATGTAGACCCACGTGGTCATTTTGTGCACTAATGGATGTACCACATATAAATATGAGTTGCGGACTTTGATATGACAAGTGCTTATCTATGATTTGCTTCAAACTCATGATATGATTTCATACAATGATAGACATCATTCATTGAACCTCTTTATACTGGTATTACTCACTGGGCTTTAGTTCACCTCGTTCTCCTATATATATGTAGGTGAGCAAATGGAACATCAAGCATATAGAAACCTCGGGACTCCATCCTTTTGCCAGTCGTTTTGGAGTGCCTGCGTGATGGGGCGATCTTGGTCTCATGCAGAGTCAAGTGTGTCAACCTTGTAATTATGATGCTTTGTTTTATTTCTTTTCTTTAGTTTCTTTTGTTTTGGAACTTAAAATGAATGTATAATTTGTATAAGTGTTAAGATGCTACGATGTACTTTTGTATCCACACCTATGAAGAAGTTGAAGTTTTAATTCCATATAGTCTTTCATGTATGCACTACTCGATGGACATGTTATATTTTAATACTAGCGTATGCCCGTGCCTGAAGGCACGGTACAATTAATTATGAGATTAAAATATAAATCAAAATTATAGAAAAATGTATTCAAATTTTTTGTTTTGTTTTTTTTCTTTTCTTTTCAAAGAGTAGGTAATGAATTCACAGGAAGGAGAAAAATTCATAAATGAAAACATGAAACTTAAATGAAACACCAATTTATTAGTAACCTAAATAAATTTCAGGAACCTCCAAAATTAGGAGCCTCCATGACTCCCAAAATGATGTAAACCAATCATATATTTTTATTTTTTTATTTCCTTCCTGGACCAATCATAGGTGAGTGAGAGTTATAAAGTTGTATTTTTTTAAGAATATATAGCATTTTTTATATTTTTAATAAAAAAAATCTTCCCAAGATAAATTGCACTTCCCCAAATTGCAATCTCTCAATTTTCTCACCCACTCTCTCCTCTTCTCTATTACCTCAGCCTCTCTCCCTCAAAGATTGTAAAACATTAATCTTCTCAACTATCTCTCTCTCTCTCACCAACTGATGTCCCCTCGTTCTTCTCTCTTCTCAAACGAAGACTCTCCTTTCATTCTCAGAAAGTTAAAAATATATATATCTATATAATAATTTTCTCACCAACTGATATTTAGCCCAAATTTCACTTTCTTTACTATTTCCCCCACTTTCTTACCAACCAAACATGACATAATTTTTTTGGATACAAACTACTAATTCATGGGCTGATAAAAATATAATGAAATTACAGATTATGGCGGAATACTAATTCATGGGCTGATTTATGGTGGAATACTCGACATATTGATGGGATGAAAGTTTAAAAATCTGATGAAAGTTTAAATATTTAAACTGATAAAAAAAATCTAAAACTAACCCAACACATTGAAAAATAATGGAAAGTTTGAAAATTATAAAATCTAAAATCTGATGGAAGTTTAAGTATTCATGGGATGAAAGTGTTCGTGGCAGAAATTTTATCAGATAAAAGTTTCTGCACCAAGTGCAGCAAGGAATGGCAGCAAGGAAAAAACCCAAGTAAAACTATCAAGTATTCCACAATGGCATAGAAAACCTAAATAAAACTAACCCAACACATTGAAAATATGATGGAATACAGCCATCATCAAATGCACAACCAATTTCCCCCACTTTCTTTTCAACCAAACAGGATATAATTTTTTTGGTACAAACTATTGATTTATGGGTTGATAAAAATATGATGAAACTACTGATTTATGAGCTGATTTATGGTAGAATTTCGACATATTTATGGGATGAAAGTTTAAAATCTGATGAAATTTAAAATATTGGAACTGATAAAAAAACCTAAAACTAACCCAACACATTGAAAAAACAATGGGTTGTTTGAAAAATCTAAAATCTAAATCTAAAATCTAAAATCCGATGAAAGTTTAAGTATTCATGGGATGAAAGTATTCATGGCAGAATCTTTTATTCAATTTGGTCTGATTTTGATAACAAAAATACAACAATAATTTCATGGCTTTTCATAGATATCCATAGAAAGCAAAATAAGAGAGAGACATAGAGAGAGCATACCATTTCTGCTCACAAATTCATATGTTTATAGATTCATATATCTATACACATTTCTAGGAGAGATAGAGAGACTAAACTCACGGGGATGTGCCGGAAAGCGCCGAAGCCGGAAAACTTGTTCCCGGGGGTGATGTCTCAAGTGAAACGACTTTGAATTTCTACAGATTTCTGCGAATAAAACCCATCAAATCCATTTCAAATTTCAAAAATCAAAACCCATCAAACCCCAACAAATTAAAATAGTTTCAAAATCATTAACTTTAAAGCAAAACCTGGAGAGTATCTGTGTATTTTTTTCTAATGTAAGAGTTTAGTTTATTCCTACACTCTTCTAACTCATTGAGGGTATTGTTCAATGGAAACCCAAAAAAAAGAATGTGAGACATGTATTTTATAGAAAAAGAAAAGTTACATTTTTAATTGGAACATGATTAAATGTTATAATGGATAAGAATTTTTTAAGATTGTAAACCGACACATAATTAAATTCAAAAAGCAATTAAAGTTTACCTTGTGTTTAATATTCATTTTTGGATGAATATGTTGCTTTGAGTTCCCATCAAGAAAACAAACCAGTTGGAAACATTGTTAATTATAAAGGTTAAAAAATACAAAATAAATATAAATGATAAAAATAAAAATAAAAAAACAATATAATGTTTTGATTCAGATCCAAAAATATACATGATCCCCTAGCCAAAAATTCAAATCATATTAAATAAAACCTCCAACGAAGCTCAATAATTAAATCATGAATTTACCTTTATAACTATAACTCATGCCTCAATCTGGAAGAGTTCACACTGGCAAATAAAAAAATTATAAACTTCAATCAATGTGAATTTTTCCAAAGAAAATGAGCATCAAAACTAACCATATTTATAACATCTATAAATACCTACAAATTTGAAATTCATGTATTGACTAATTCATGAAAACATGGTACTTAAAAACAAACACAAAAAGCAATTTTAAAAACAAAACCAAAAAAAAAATAGAGAGAGAAGAGGAAAGGAAGGAAAACAAACACAAAAACCGTAAATTATATACACACACAAAAAAAACATAAAATTGCTTAAAATCAATCACGTACTTAAACAAATTCTATATAATCAAAGCTTGATTATATACATTAAATTCTGTAAATCAATCATATGCTCTGATTATATGCTCTGATTATATACATTAAATTCTATAAGTATGTGATTAATTGCTTTGATTATAGCTTCACAATCAAGTTTTCCCAAAAAAACAAATAAAAGAAAAAAAAAATCATATGAAATAAGTGCAGTAAAAAATGAATTTGATGCAATCAATATCGTGCTCATAGACGAATCCATCGAAGCTAGAGCAGCCAGGGCCACCATTGAGCCAGAGGACGACTGGATCACTAGAGGGTTTTGCTTCGGAGAGGACAAAGTAATAAAACAATTTCTTCCCATGAGCTTCATCTATAGTCACATACCTATAAAAATTGAACAACAATTAAAGAACAAATAGAAATACCAATAAAGACCCATCACAATCAAGGACAATCACGAATAGGAAAGGGACATACCCAAAATAGTGTTTGGACGGAAAAGTGTCATTGAAACCAGGAACCTGTGTGAACAGTGCAACTTCAGGTGCTGATTCTATCAACACAAAGCTCAAGCTCAGGACAATGTAAGTTAGGACTCTCACTGTGTTGACTACATTAGTAATCTTGGCCATGGCTTCTGGTTTTCACAGAGAGAGGCTTGTTGTTATTTGTTTCAATTAATAAGCATACCATTGTTGATTATGAGAACTATATATAATAAAAATAAAAAGTGATGTGGAGTTGAGTGACTGAGTGATGCTGGTCCAAGTAGTAGTCTGTTCGTTTGCTTAAAAGGCAAGAGAAAGAAAAGGAAAACAGCCCTGGTAGAGACCACTTTCTGCATGTAATTTACGGTTAAGGAAAGAGAAAAGAGTGGGGTTGCATGTATTAGTTGGTATATATTTTATTTTAATGTATTAATATATAATCAGAGCATTCTTTAAATCAATCATATATAATCAGAGCATATAATCAGCATATAATCAAAGCTTTCAATAGAATTTATTTGCTTTCAGCTTTGATTCTACTTAAAAAAAACATGCTTTCAGCTTTGCTTTGAAAAAAAAACTCTGAGCATATAATCACATACTTATTATTATATTGAAAGCTGTTTTTCAAAGCTGATTATATGTGATTATATGTGATTAGTATACTAATCAGAGCATGTTTTTTCACATATAATTAGTGTATGAGATGTGTGTATATATATTATATTGTAACAATATAATAATAAGTATGTGAGTATATGCTCTGATTATTCAAAGCTGTTTTTTTTTTTTTTTTTTTTTTTTTTTGCTTTGAATTTCTAACATGTAAATCAACAGTAAAAAAAATTAAACATGATGAAGAAAAATGAGACTGACAAAGGTATTAAAAATTTCAAAGCTCTTAGATACTGCCCAATTCAAAGGTCTCAGAGGTATTAAATATGATGAACCAATACTGCCCAATTCAAAGCTCTTAGATCTCGGTATGTTCCCTCCATTGGAAGAATTGCTCTCAATCCCAAAAAAAGAAATTTTAAAAACAAACCCAAAAAAAAAAAAAAAGAAGAGGAAAGGAAGGAAAACAAACACAAAAACCGTAAATTATATACACACAAAAAAAACATGAAATTGCTTTAAATCAATCACATACTTAAACAACTTCTATATAATCAAAGCTTGATTATATACATTAAATTCTTTAAATTCTATAAATCAATCATATGCTCTGATTATATACATTAAATTCTATAAGTATGTGATTAATTGCTTTGATTATAGCTTCAAAATCAAGTTTTCCCAAAAAAAAAAATAAAAGAAAAAAAAATCATATGAAATAAGTGCTGTAAAAAATGAATTTGATGGAATCAATACTGTGCTCATAGACGAATCCATCGAAGCTAGAGCAGCCAGGGCCACCATTGAGCCAAAGGACGACTGGATCACTGGAGGGTTTTGCGTCGGAGAGGACAAAGTAATAAAACAGTTTCTTCCCATGAGCTTCATCTATAGTCACATACCTATAGATTTTTTCACTATTTCTATCAATATTGTATCTTCAATAAGTTCATAAATTATAAATTAGTTCAAGAGAAAGAGAAGGAGAGAGTTTGGTTATCTAATAATCCACTTACCAAATTATTGAGAGAAGTTTTTGAAAGTCTTCACCAATCTGTGTATTCCAGTTGAAATGTTAGGCTTTGGAGCAGCCAAGAAACCCCAAGAATTCCTCATTTTCAGCCCAGATGATGCACTCTCTTCTCTTTCTTCTTTCCCTTGTAATAAAAGACATAAAACACAAAGCACTGTCAAATACACATAGAGAAACCAAGGGAGTTACCTGGACTGAAACCAATGAACTCTCTCTCTCTCTGTCTCCCAACTTTTAAATTCATTTAAATTTTGGCAAGAGAAAGAATGATGCTGGTCCAAGTTGTAGTCTGTTCATTTGCTTAAAAGGCAAGAGAAAGAATGATGCTGGTCCAAGTTGTAGTCTGTTCATTTGCTTAAAAGGCAAGAGAAAGAATGATGCTGGTCCAAGTTGTAGTCTGTTCATTTGCTTAAAAGGCAAGAGAAAGAAAAGGAAAACAGCCCTGGTAGAGACCACTTGCTGCATGTAATTTACGGTTAAGGAAAGAGAAAAGAGTGGGGTAGCATGTATTAATTGGTATATATTTTATTTTAATGTATTAATATATAATCAGAGCATTCTTTAAATCAATCATATATAATCAGAGCATGTAATCAGCATATAATCAAAGCTTTCAATAGAATTTATTTGCTTTCAGCTTTGATTCTACTTAAAAAAAACATGCTTTCAGCTTTGCTTTGAAAAAAAAACTCTGAGCATATAATCACATACTTATTATTATATTGAAAGCTGTTTTTCAAAGCTGATTATATGTGATTATATGTGATTAGTATACTAATCAGAGCATGTTTTTTCACATATAATCAGTGTATGAGATGTGTGTATATTATTATATTGTAACAATATAATAATAAGTATGTGAGTATATGCTCTGATTATTCAAAGCTGTTTATTTTTATTTTTTTTTGCTTTGAATTTCTAACATGTAAATCAACAGTAAAAAAAATTAAATATGATGAAGAAAAATGAGACTGACAGAGGTATTAAAAAATTCAAAGCTCTTAGATACTGCCCAATTCAAAGGTCTCAGAGGTATTAAATATAATGAACCAATGCCATAGATACTGCCCAATTCAAAGCTCTTAGATCTGGGTATGTTCCCTCCATTGGAAGAATTGCTCTCAATCCCAAAAAAAGCAATTTTAAAAACAAACCCAAAAAAAAAAAAAAAAAAAAAAAAAATAGAGAGAGAAGAGGAAAGAAAGGAAAACAAACACAAAAACCGTAAATTATATACACACAAAAAAACATGAAATTGCTTTAAATCAATCACATACTTAAACAAATTCTATACAATCAAAGCTTGATTATATACATTAAATTCTTTAAATTCTATAAATCAATCATATGCTCTGATTATATACATTAAATTCTATAAGTATGTGATTAATTGCTTTGATTATAGCTTCACAATCAAGTTTTCCCAAAAAAACAAATAAAAGAAAAAAAAATCATATGAAATAAGTGCAGTAAAAAATGAATTTGATGGAATCAATATCGTGCTCATAGACGAATCCGTCGAAGCTAGAGCAGCCAGGGCCACCATTGAGCCAGAGGACGACTGGATCACTAGAGGGTTTTGCTTCGGAAAGGACAAAAGTAATAATATAGTTTCTTCCTATGAGCTTCATCTATAGTCACATACCTATAGATTTTTTTCACTATTTCTATCAATATTGTATCTTCAATAAGTTCATAAATTATAAATTAGTTCAAGAGAAAGAGAAGGAGAGAGTTTGGTTATCTAATAATCCACTTACCAAATAATTGAGAGAACTTTTTGAAAGTCTTCACCAATCTGTGTATTCCAGTTGAAATGTTAGGCTTTGGAGCAGCCAAGAAACCCCAAGAATTCCTCATTTTCAGCCCAGATAATGAACTCTCTTCTCTTTCTTCTTTCCCTTGTAATAAAAGACATAAAACACAAAGCACTGTCAAATACACACAGAGAAACCAAGTGAGTTACCTGGACTGAAACCAATGAACTCTCTCTCTCTCTGTCTCCCAACTTTTAAATTTAAAAAACAAATAAAAGAAAAAAAAATCATATGAAATAAGTGCAGTAAAAAATGAATTTGATGGAATCAATATCGTGCTCATAGACGAATCCGTCGAAGCTAGAGCAGCCAGGGCCACCATTGAGCCAGAGGACGACTGGATCACTGGAGGGTTTTGCTTTGGAGAGGACAAAGTAATAAAACAGTTTCTTCCCATGAGCTTCATCTATAGTCACATACCTATAGATTTTTTTCACTATTTCTATCAATATTGTATCTTCAATAAGTTCATAAATTATAAATTAGTTCAAGAGAAAGAGAAGGAGAGAGTTTGGTTATCTAATAATCCACTTACCAAATTATTGAGAGAAGTTTTTGAAAGTCTTCACCAATCTGTGTATTCCAGTTGAAATGTTAGGCTTTGGAGCAGCCAAGAAACCCCAAGAATTCCTCATTTTCAGCCCAGATGATGAACTCTCTTCTCTTTCTTCTTTCCCTTGTAATAAAAGACATAAAACACAAAGCACTGTCAAATACACACAGAGAAACCAAGGGAGTTACCTGGACTGAAACCAATGAACTCTCTCTC